AAATGCTTTATCAAGGAATTCTGCCAAGACGATGTGTATCGTACGGTGCGGCAAAACGAACTGATGCTTGAAGAGGATGCGAGCACAGATAAGCAAATGAACAGTCTGGCATTAATTAATGTAAATTCGACTGAAGGACGAAATGTGAGCAAATATTGCATGAAGTACAATGTGGCATGGGAGGTGTCAAAATATGAAAGGGGGATGCCAGCTTGGTCAATGCATGTCATAATTGAGCATTAACACAGATTATAAATTATATTCATAATCATACTATAAAACAGACTGTGTTCCTGTGGTTGCAGTTATACAATAGTTAACAGGTTCAACATTTGTAAGAACAGGATATTTATGGGTTCAGCATTCAATAGGTCATTAGGTTTGACCCTCCAAAACATTGCATAGCAGCAGCATCAATAATGCAGACTTAGTAACTTGGATGAAACAAGAGCGTTTCAGTACCTGGAAGTGTAGGTTAATGGTTCTAGTCCCAAAACATGACATCGCAATACAATCATGCAGTGTTTAAATTTAAATATGCACAGCAAATGCAAAATAACCTGAAGCAGATTTAAGAGGTTAATAATAGATATGAAAGTAGTTCAAATCACAAGACAATATAAAGATAACTGGTAAGGCTGTTTGTCCTATATATGAGTACAATATAATAATTATCCTACCCAGAATTCATAGCTTTATGCCCTGGTGCCAGTTGCAAAGTTCTTAAAATGTTATCCATTAGATTGCCTTCAGAATTAGCTAGCTGTATTTCCAATGACATGTCAATAAATGTAAACCAGGATTTGGTAGAATGGATAACATTGTCATAGATCTATAGCACACAGAATAATAACATTAAAAGTTCAGTATATTATGATACAAAGTGGTCATCTCTAAGGCAGTAACAATTATTTATATGTGTACATGCTTAAACTAATTGTCAGGCTTTTATTTTATTAAAATGATAATTGTGTTCCATATTGGAAAAAAAGACATCATAAATTTTAATCACATCATATAATATTGAGTTATTTTATGACAAATTAGTCATATTGTTGGCAGTTTTGTAGTAATTTGATAATCGTTAGTGCCTCATTGCAACAGGGTATTTGAAATGAGAGACTACATTTGATGTTATTTTTTAATTATAGTTTACCTTTCTTTGCAATAAAGAAAGTGATATACACGTCAACATTTTAAGAATTGGACAGCAGCTAATAAACAATAAAACTTTTCCACAGATTTTTTTTAGTTTAACAGCAGTCAAAATTGATGTCCAACCATGCAATGATGTCAATAGAAAATGAAATCAGATATGCCTGGGAATTGTTTGATGACAATTTTTGTTTTTTGAACTAAAATGATGACCAGTTGGTGAATGGTCAACAAAACAAAAATACAATTTGCACATGGTGTATAAAATTATATTTTGTCATTGCATCTACTTCAATCTACAAATTGGTTCAAGTATGTCTGATAAATGACATCGGACAGATGCATGGACAGATGCAACCCAAAACAAAAGTACATATTTCAGACAACTTTCCCCTATGGATAAAAACACAAACTGAGTGTAATTGCAAACATAGTAAAATCACTTACAGCTGTCAGTTCCACCACAACAACAGTAACAGTATTTTTTAGACCACTAAAACTTTTTTGGGACCATGCTTGTTTCAATATAGCAGTTGCACCTGCAGATGTCTTCACTGGAATCTTCTGTAATTGCTTTCAAAATAAAATATGAAAACATTATTGAATTGATAACTGTAACTTTATTAGGCCTTATTTGTTTCTCAGTGAATTACTGTCAACACAGCTCTGTACATATACCATGTTTTGGACACAGAAGTGCAATGACAGAAAAATACAAAACAGTTTGCAAAATGTTTGACAGAAAGAAGTATGTAATTTGATAGTTAAAAGAAGTTTTCTATACATCTAAGATGCATTTAGCCATGATGTTTTGAGAGTGAGAATCATCTCTGAAAATGTAACCATGGTATCTGAAGCAGCTGTACTGGATTCTGACGTAAATTCGCCCAACGGCTGGTGGAGTTCAAATTTTCAATCAAAGTAAGCTTTAAGAACTCCCATGTGCTGAGAGTATTGGAGACACATTAAATATAATTCAAAATTACTTGTACTTGATTGAGATTGTGATGGAAAAGCTAAAAACTAATAATGCAAATTACTTGAGTGTACCAAGTTTTATTGAAATGTGATTGAAATTGAAATAAAATTATGAATTCTTATGCTAATTAGAGAATTAATATAAACAGATTTTAACCCCAAACTAATCAGGTTTGTACATTGTCCTAGAGCATCTTTGTACTAAGTTTCATTGAAATGGAATAATTCAATATGGATGTAACAGACATACTGATGTTATGGGCCGCATTCACCATGGCCTTCTTCGGATTCTTACGAGTAAGCAAATTTGCCTCTCCGTCGAAAACAACATTTGACCGTGAACGC